ACCTTAAAGATGATATTTTTAAAGTAAAAATATATATATAAAAGACGCAGAAATTCTTTACAGAAGCAAAAATGTGATCAGATTAAAACCCACTGTTCTTAAAAAACTTTACACACAAAAACCCATCCGACGTTGGCTCAGAAATCGGAGAATGAACTAGGGTTTGAAAAGAAGTTTCAGAGCAAGAGGCAAAGGAGTAAGTATGCGTAATTGATGAGAGAGAGAAGGAAGAAGCTGAATTAGTGAAGTTGGTGTTTGGAATAACAAGCAGTGAGCGCTTGTCTTGGCTTTAGCCTCCCCTTTATTTTCTCTGTACTTTGGGCTTTGGTCTCAAATCAAATCGCAGATCAGAAAGAGAAGAATATAAAGGGAACACATTAAAAAAAAGGGTGGGGAAGCTAATGAAAAAGGTGACTTCAGACCAAAGCTTTTGTTCGTTTCTGATTTTATAATGATTTTTTCAATTAATGATTGGATCTATCATCCACAACTACTCATGTAAATACTGTGGCACCGTGTTTGGTGGAAACCTGGAATTCTCAATTTTTTTTTTTTTTCCTTTTTACCACAGTTTTTTAGCTTGTGAAATTTAGAATTTCTTTTAGTTGCAGATTTTATATTATTTTCTCATTTAAAACATTTTTATTGGTATATATATTATATTAAAAATGAGATTCGACTACGTAACTAATCAATTTTTATGCATTTTTTTAAATATATGAACGTGGACAACTGATTAATACTCCTTAAAATTAAGTACTAGTACTTTTAATTTATAATTCTTGAAGAAATTTTTTTCTTATTTCCAGAAGAAAAAACTGTGACGATATTTTGATTTCAATTTATTTATTTTATGAATTAAGAGGTGTTTGATGATTTTTAAAAGTACTTCTAAAAAGTATTTTTTTATAAAATAAAACAAATTCTTTTATATATTTATTTCATAAATCATAAAAACACTTTTAAAATTATGATTTGGTTTTTATCAAACACCTTTCATTAAATATTGGAGGAATGTGAGCTTTTGTTCTTATTCTGTTGATTTCATAGCGGTGCATGTTGATTCTGTCATATCACATTATCACTAATGAAAGTTTGTGCCCTTCCCTTGTCAATATCAATAAAGTGTTTTCATTTTCTTGCAATAGCTTTTCTTCTGTTTCTTAATATTCATATTTTTTATGCCCATTTTCGGGAGGGATTTTCTGCAGATCAAAAGGGGAAAAAGTGGATTTATCCTTTAGATGTAATATTTTTTTAATCATTTTTAGTGCCAAAATTCAAAATAATGGCAAGCATCGAACATAATGATAAATTTCATTGAGTCTTCATGGAAATTGAAAAGGGTATAATATTTAATTATTTATGTTAAGATCAAGGCGATGAAGTTCATTGATTTATTATAAATCAAAAAAGAGAAATTAATGCCACTGTAAGGGATGACTTTGGATGAAGAATCCAACAATAATAAATAAATTAAAGGAATAATTAAAAATAGGAAGCACTGTTGAGGACCAATGTCATGCCAATCTCATTATTTTAAAAAACAAGAATCTTTTGTTGCATATGGGATTTATTAATTAGTTTACTAGTCCATGGGGAGAATCGTACATATTTCGTTTATATAAATTTATATAAGTAATATTAATAAAAAAAAGAGGGTTCACCAACCAGGTTGGACTTTGAAGGAAACAAAAATAATAAAAGAATTATTCACAAAGTGACCATGAGAACAATTTGTGTATTTTTTATATTTTAAGTGTCTGCTTTTATCATTTTCACTTTCTTACTCCTTGTCTTCGGCTTTCTGCTATTCATGATTGCCATCATACATCATGACATTATTTTATAGCATTTATCTTCCCAATGCATTTAAAATCAAATGTGGGTAAAACCATCAGAAAATGTGATTGGTCAATCATATATTTGGTGCTGTACTTTCAGTTTTTATATTTCGAAGATGAATTAAATGAACTGATTTTTAAAAGTATATAAATTAAAGGGAAAATCCCATATAAATACCTATTGAATTCTAAAATCCCAAATAAGTCACTCTAACTTCACAAAAGACAAATAAGCCTACAGGTATTCAATCGAAATTTGCAAATTTTGAAAATTACCTCCATGCCCTTTTTCTCATTTCCTTATCCTCTCTCTCTTCGTCGTCTTTTTTACGAGAGAGACACAGCTTGTATGGGAAATTAATGCCGTGGCTGCATCATTCTTTCACTGGGTTTTGTTAGACATTGGAGACGCAGTTGAAATATTTTAGAATAGAAAAGAGAGATCGCCATTGATTTTGGGAGCACACCATTATACAACGGATCCTCTTCTTCTTCAAATAGCGGCCATTGCGAAACTTTGTTGTTTATATTTATGAATCAAAAGAAACCATGGGAACCAAAATATAACAACTATGAGTCATCTTCTTGAGAGAGAGAGAGAGAAGACACGGCTAGATCTTCTTTTTCCTCAGTCATGGTAGCACTAAATATAGTTACTGTCATAGAACATTCTGGTTTTTGGTAAATATCATTAGTGCAGTTGTCAAACCCATTATAAATGTTGTCAATCACATTATTTTATAATAGATTGACTTTTGTAGTCTGAATGACAAGAAAATATTATAGATATTAGTTTAATCTTAATGCTACCTTGTCATTTGAATATATTTAATGTAACTTCTGTCATAGGCTCGTTGTTTTTTCGTAAATATTGTCATTTTAGTGGTCAATTCCATTACACATGTAGTAAATTATGAAAGTTATTGATATTATGTTTATTATGATGTTTTTCTAGTGTACTTGTATAATACATTGTCAATACATTTTGACCCTCGTTTAATTCCCCCAAAGGCTAGGCTTAAAACAGGTTGCAAAAATTGCTATGCATGTAGTAATTTTCATTATGCAAGTTATCATTCCCATTACATATTTAATAAAGTTGCCTGCAAATGAACTAAAATTGGATTGCAAATAATCAAGTTAAAAGTCTCATAATGCTTTTGTGCAACCTGTTTTAAGTCATTTACATATTATTTTACAAAACAAGTAACGAAAATGACAACTTGCATAATGCAAGTTATCATTTCCATCAAGCGACTTGTAACTTGATTATTTGCAATCCAATTTTAGTTCATTTGCAGACAACTTTATTAAACATGTAATGGGAATGATAACTTGCGTAATGAAAATTACTACATGCATAGCAATTTTTGTAACCTGTTTTAAGTCTAGCCTTTTGGGGAATTAAACGAGGGTCAAAATGTATTGACAATGTAGTATACAAGTACACTAGAAAAACATCATAATAAACATAATATCAATAACTTTCATAATTTACTACATGTGTAATGGAATTGACCACTAAAATGACAATATTTACGAAAAAACAACGAGCCTATGACAGAAGTTACATTAAATATATTCAAATAACAAGGTAGCATTAAGATTAAACTAATATCTATAATATTTTCTTGTCATTCAGACTACAAAAGTCAATCTATTACAAAATAATATGATTGACAACATTTATAATGGGTTTGACAACTGCACTAATGACATTTACCAAAAACCAGAATGTTCTATGACAGTAACTATATTTAGTGCTACCATGACTGAGGAAAAAGAAGATCTAGCCGTGTCTTCTCTCTCTCTCTAGAGAAGATGACTCATAGTTGTTATATTTTGGTTTCCATGGCTTCTTTTGATTCATAAATATAAGCAACAAAGTTTCACAATGGCCGCTATTTGAAGAAGAAGAGGATCCGTTGTATAATGGTGTGCTCCCAAAATCAATGGCGATCTCTCTTCTCTATCCTAAAATATTTCAACTGCGTCTCCAATGTCTAACAAAACCCAGTGAAAGAATGATGCAGCCACGACATTAATTTCCCATACAAGCTGTGTCTCTGCCGTAAAAAAGACGACGAAGGGAGAGAGGATAAGGAAATGAGAAAAAGGGCATGGAGGTAATTTGTCAAAATTTGCAAATTCCGATTTAATACCTGTAGGCTTATTTGTCTTTTGTGAAGTTAGATTGACTTATTTGAGATTTTAGAATTCAATAGGTATTAGGTATTTATATGGGATTTTCCCTAAATTAAACTGCTCGTATAATTATAAAAGCAGGCACATTTTTTAAAACACTTATAAACTAACAACATAAAAAGGAAATTGCACAGTCAACGTAAAAAAAGACAGCGTTCACTTTGGAGTTGTTGGGCTAGACTAAGCCCGTTAAGATTTTGTGCTAATTATCCCTCACTATTGTATTTTGGGCCTAATTACTCAGCTTCTGTTGACGTTACCGTGAATTTTCAGGCAATTGAATTTGTTCAATATATTAACAAGATTAGAAGGGGTTAGTTCCTCACAACGTAACAAACTGTAAATTTCTGTTAAGAGATATATCCATATTTAATACTCTTCTGGTCTTTAATATAAAACACATTTAACTAATTTGATTAGATTAATGAAATTAGGTAAATTAGTTTATTATAAGAAAAGTGACACATTTTTCCTAAAACACCATAATCATCTTTCTTAATACTCCCTCTCCCTCTTGTACTTGATTATGGTTGAGGGAGTATCCATAGAGGTAATTTAGAAAAAATTGATAAATATGATAAATGAATCTTATATTTAGGACCAAAACAAACTCAAAAATTAGGTCCTATATTAAGGACCGGAGGAGTATCTAATAGTATTTTGAGTAGAATTGTCTCCAATGAGAGAATATATATAACAAAAAAGAAATTATAGAACATTCATGGGGCTTGAGTTATGTACCTTGATTTGAGTGATCAGATTGTTTGGGATAGAAGAGCGAAAAATTAACCTAAAATTGGCCCACATAGGTATACCGTATACGAAAGAAAAGACGTTGGTCAAGTTCAGAGGTGGAGCTAAATTCTGCGCAAGTGTTTATTATAGATTGAGCTGAGAACTCAAACTTTTTCTTATTATTCTTTCGGTATGCTAGGGGAAAATCTAGTAAAGTGCTTCATAAAACAAAGGAACTTCATTCATCACATAGATGAAAAGAAAAGGTTCACAGCACAAATTAAGAGTAGGTAACAGAATAAAACAACATGAGAGATTGAGAGTCACAGTTGTTTATCAGTGAAACCACAAAATAAAGATGATTTATATCTGTTCACTAGTTGCTTCCACTTCCGAGCTTCCAGCTTCCTACGATGAGGCTCCACTGGCCATTCAGCTCATAGTTAGTAGCACTCAGAGAACATAGCAATTCAAGATTACGCAGAAAACTAATTATTTTATTGGGGGCAAAAAAAAAAAAAGATAGAGAAGGGAGGCGATTACCAATTATGTTCTAAGTAGCCTGCGACGACACCTTGCTAAGTTGATTAGTGTAAGCACAACAATCCTCTCATACAAATTATTTAGGAAGGTGAAGTAAGCATTCCTCCAAGAACGGGATATAAGCAATGAACCGAATATGGCCCAAAATCCTGTAAAAAATCCCAAACCCATGCTTATGTAGAATCCTTGGGACAAAAATGAATCGTCTTGCTCTTCCTCAATCGATGCGGCTTTTGATCCTTTTTCGTCTGGACAAAGTCTTTGCAGCGGACTTCCACAAAGAAATGGATTCCCATCATATGCAGAGGCATCAAAACTTTGGAGCTGTGTTCCCGATGGGATTTTCCCAGATAAATTGTTGTTTGATAGGTTCAAAACAGCAAGCCAATTCATTTCAGAAAAACTTGAAGGGATTGGTCCAGATACATGGTTTGTCGATAAATCAAGAAACTCAAGGGCATGCAGATTTCCAAGCTCCCAAGGAATAGCACCACTCAAATTGTTGCTTGATAAATCTAAGGATACAAGTTCCGAGAGATTCCCAATTTCTCTTGGAATTTTCCCACATAGTTCATTCTCCGATATATCAATGAGCTTCAGAAGTCTTTGATCGTCCTTGAATGACAATTCCTTTCCTTTCCACCTCACTGTAGGATAAAAATCATAACTGAAAACATACGAAGGTGAGCCATTTGTAAAGACGTAGAATTCATCAATGGCATCGGTAGATTTAGGTTTTCGAGCCATTGCTGATAAGTTTCGGAGACATTTTGGTATTTGTCCAGCCAAGTTATTCAGTGAAAGATCTAAAACTTGAATGTTTGTTAAATGACACAGATACGATGGCAAACTCCCGTTAAAGTGGTTGTTTCTCATGCTAAGAACTTGCAAGTTTTGAAGGTTAAATCCTATCCATGGAGGTATGGGTCCTGACAATTCATTTCGCGCCACATCCAACATTACCAACTGGGTGCAATTTTGCAGAGATGGAATTTGGCCTGTGAAGTGATTGTCACGTAAAATTAAGTGACGGGCCAAAATCAAGGAGCCCATTGAGGTTGGAATCTTTCCAGAGAACTCATTATTGCTCAAATCAAGAATTCTTAGTGATGCTAAATGATTCCAACAATCTGGGAGTTGTCCTTTGATATTATTGCTTGAAATGTTCAAATGGTTCAAACATCTTTTGGTAGAGCATAGAAAAGCAGTTGTTGTTTCCATGTCTGAAATCCCAGAATCCGAAACATCAAGATCGTACAGGTTATTTTGTGTTTGAAGCCATCTGGGAAAAGAAGGACCTAATGCGACGGATTGGGCTGCAAATGATGTCAATTGAAATTGAGGAATCCAATTGTTGCTAAAATTCAACGTAAATGAGTTCCAAGATAAATCTAAGAGCTTCAACTTTGTGAGATTGGCAAAATGGGCCAAGTTTGTGATCCTACCTCCTAAAACATTGCTCGCAACATTGAACTCTTCGAGTCCTACCAGATTTGCAATTGTTTTCGGCATGGTTCCATTTAATTGATTGTTTTGGAGGTACAATATTTGAAGGGAATTCATTATTTTGCCTAGATCGTCTGGAATGGGACCTTCTAGGAGGTTTGAGTTGAGACCTAGATATATAAGACTCGTAGAGTTCAAACGGAACAACCAGGGAAATATGGATGATGTGAACATGTTACGAGATAGATCAAGTTGAATTAGAGAATGAGAAAAGTTGAGCTGGGAAGGATGCGCCAAAAGAAGATCAATATCTGAAAGACCAAACTTTGACAGACTCAGATATTGCAGGCTTGGTAGATGACCAATTATTTGTAACAAATTTTTGGATTTTCTATGATTTGACACACCACCTAAATCAAGAGTATTCAAAGAAGAAAGGCGAGAAATCCATTGAATGTTGTCAATTAAGAGATTGTCATTTGAACCCAGACCAAGATTCTCTAATCTTGAAAGATTACCAAGTTGGTAAGGAATGACACCACCTAGATCATTGAAGGGGAGCATAAGTTCCTGCAAATTGACAAGATTTCCCAATTCCCAAGGGATCTCTCCTATCAAATAGTTGTAAGAAAGACGAAGGATTCTTAAGCTTGAAAGATTTCCCAATTGGTAAGGAATTTTCCCACCAAAATAGGCCTGAGTCAGATCAAGGTGCCTTAATTTAACAAGAGAACCAATAAATTCTGGGATTGGATCCCCACGGAAATCGTTCCAACCTAAATCCAAATACTTTAAATGTCTCAGTTCCACCAAAGATGCACTAATCTCACCTCTCAAAGGTTGATCGTAAACACGAGCATGAAGATCAAGCATCACAACATGGCCTGTTTGGTTGCTACACTTAACACCCCACCATCTGCAACAATCAGCGTCTCCTTCTGAACCCCATGAAGATAAAATGCCATACTCATCCACAAGCCCTTTCTTCAGCTCCAAAAGTGCTTGCCTTTCTCTCTCTACGCAACTCATGCTTCCATTTGAGTGCAGAATCTGCACCTGCAAAACCCAGACCAAGAATATCGTTCGAAGCAGATTTAGATTGTTCCAACACATGGTCACTCTTTGGATTTGTCCAACATTATGGAACCTTCAATTTATAATCATTTCTTTCGTCAAAAACTAGACAGCATAGCGTGTTTTAGGTGGCTTGCATGTAGCATCCTTTTCGTCGATTGCTTTCTTCCACTCCCATAATTTCAAGCTTTCTAATTACTGCAAGGCTCAATATTCCAAAAGTCTGCCTTCAAAAGTCTAGTAAAATGATTTTTTCAAAGCCACCGGACCCATACAAAGATATATACGGATGCGTATTGCGTAAGCATTATTAATTTCCAAAGCCAGACTGAAAGAGAAGCTGCGCTCCAGGTTGCTGGTGAATTACGTAAGCGTGGATTCCGTCAAACCGACAGGGTTTGCAAAATATAATGAAAATTAATGATATATCGAGTAAATTAGGGACGTGGAAAACAAATCAACAAGTTAATGATAATGTATGTGATGGCGTGTTTATCCTTTTGGCTATTGTTGGCTTATCATCGTTTGATTATGCATGCAACAAGATAAGAGTTTTCTTTATGAGGGAGATTATGTATGATGGTAAACAAGAGGCATATAATATAGCTGCCCAAACTGGAATAGAAAGTGCATTCACCGATTTAAAAGAACTTCATGATTAGAATAAAAAGCTTATACGTAGTTTATCAGTGGAAGTGACTGTGAAGATGGAGAATACGATCATGAAAGTTCCTCGGTTAGACAGTCAAAATTGGGAACCTCTTCCCCCTCCCCTCCCCGAGTCGTTGTTGAGTCCAATTTTTTTTGGGTGCAATGTTCTCCCAGACTGTTTGAAAAAGGCATAAGCTGGAGAGCGGAAATGGGTCTAAAGCAAGCCCATAAAATTTGGGCTACTAGCCCACACCATTATATTTTGGGCCTCATTAATGTTCTTTTGTGGGCGCTCTCGTGATTTTTTCAGTGGAAATTCCGTTTAATCTGTACAACATTCATGGGTCCTGTATCGCGTATTACCTGATATTGGAGGCCTCATTCCTCAACCTATTGAAGTCAAAATGGAGGGAAACCAAAGGGAAAAAAAATCCTCAACTTATTATCGTTATTTTTCTTCTGATAACATACGAGAGAACGACGGTTAGATTTATAGGAATAAATTAATATTATTAAGTTCCAGACAGATTTTCATAAAAATAACTTTAAATATCGATTCAAATAATTGTAAAATTGAAGGATCTCACTAGCAAATAAGACATGGATTTAAGTTTCAAATAAAACTCTCAATCTATAATTGAAATTTTTTGTTTGCAATAGTATGAATAGCCATATTTGCATTTTCAAGAAAAGTTTAGGAATGACCTAACTATGTCACTAATCCAACATTTGATTTTAGTGCCTGTAATTTTCATTCCACACATACATGGATGAAAAGATTAAGTTTGACAAGTCTAACCGAGAATATCACAGTAGGGAACAAAATCAAACAAGATAAGATTCTCAACAATAACTAATTAACTTAAGCACACAGTACAGAAGCTTTATTTTGATGGTAGCTGACAGAAACCCATTCCATATGTATTTTTGCTTCTACTACAAACTGCTTCTCTCATCACGATCTTCCAGCTTCAAATGAGCGATCGGGCTCCCCTCATCAACGATTCTTATTGGTTTTAAGCGATCCCAACAATTTGGAAGTTGTTCTTCCAAGTGATTGCTGTTGACAATACCTACAAAATAACAAAAAAATATGGTTTGAGTCATATCCAAGGATACTGTCCTTAAAAGATATAGCTTGTCGATTTGATAGCTGACTAAGCATGTGCAACCAAATTTTGGATTCTCTCTTATTTGAGACATCATCTTGTTCAAGGTCAGTCAAAGAAGAAAGGAAAAAAATTCATGAAATGTTATCAGCATCAATTAGGAGATTGTCCATCTTGTTCAAGGTCGTTCAAAGAAGAAAGGAAAGAAATTCATGAAATGTTATCAGCATCAATTAGGAGATTGTCCTTTAGCTAAAAAACCTCTAATCTTGAAAGATTACCAAGTTGGCTAGAAATTATGCGCCCTAGATGGTTATGATGCAAAGTGAGTTGCAGCAAGTCAGAAAAATTTCCCCATTGCCAAGGAATATAATTTCTCCTTTAAGATACGTAGTTCAATTAGAGAGGAAGGTTCTGTAGGCTCCACAGTTCTCCTAATTGATAAGGATTTTCCCACCAAAGTAGGCATGCGTGGCTTGAAGCAGCTTTAGTTTATATGTGGCATGCTTCCTATTCCTAATTTAGACTATTTGAATACATGGTCACTCTTTGAACATTGCTCCAACATTATGGGAACCTTCAATTTATAATCATTGCCTTCATCACAAAAAAAGCAGTGTAGGCAGCGTACTTTCCCCAGCTAAAATTAATTGCAAGACTTGATAATATTCCAAAAGTCTGCCTTCAAAAGTATATACCTGTGGACTCCGTCAAACCCACGGGGTTTGCAAAATGAAATTAATTATGACACACCGAGTAACCATGGATATGGAGACCTATCAATAAGTTAATGAAGGTGATGGCATGTACGTGTAATAAGAGTACGTATTGTGGGGATCAATAATATCTGAGAGTTGAAGCCAATCGAGTCGTGTATTTTGGGGGCAGACTTGGCTTCAAGTCTATGACAGGCATGAACGCGTGAGAAGACTTTATAGATTGGATTGACCCATTGAAATTTGAGATAATTAAAGCATGAATTAAAAAAAAATCTTATTAATTTAATACATATTTCAAATTAATAAAAACCTATTATATAAAGTGGTTAATGGTGTTAATGGAATTGTGAATATTGTCATAAAAGTTGTTAATGACATTACGAATGTTCAAAAAATTTCAATTTAAAAACTTGAAACGTACATGATTAATGGTGTTAATGAAGTTGTGAATACCATTACAAGAGTTGTTAATCACCGTGTTATGAAAATTCAAAAAAATCTGAAAAAATAGTCGCTAATCACTGGATCACCATTGATCAGTATCTGGCAGTCACTTGAACTCTGGCACCAGCGTTAAAGCTCCAACCGGCTGGTAAGAGTGACTTGAAGGTTTGAAAAAGAAAAAATAAAGGGCAATATTATAAATTCACTTAATTTTAAAATTTTAAATCAGTCAATTTTGCAAGTTTAGATGACATTTGGGGTTTTACAAATTCAACTATCATTTTATTGAAAGTTTTCGGGGAAAAAAAAAATCTAATATCAACTCATTCCTTTTTATTTAAAAAAAAAAAGGTTCCTATTCCAAATTTCAAATATTGCAAAGAAAATGGCTATTCAGGCCCAACACCAAAAAGGCCATTATCATGGGCCCATTTCGGCAGCCCAATTTTGTGCTGAATGGGAAAGTTACGTACGGCTTGGGCTTCTCAACAACTCATGCTTGTCTGAAATGAAAATTAAAAATTAAAAAATTTCCCAAACATTGAAAATTCGTTTCGTCACTTTAGTAGCTCTTCGTTTTTTCCCCTCAAAACCAAAAATTTCGATTCTCTGAAAAGTATGGACTGTTTTTGGTCAGAGAAAAGAATGGACATAATTATTAATTAGAGAAAACCATATTGAAAGTACCTATACTTTTTTCAATTTCAATTTGGTACCTATGTGTTTTTTGTTCTTAACTAAATCTTTAATTTTGTTTTATTAACATCATTAATCCTCATGTAGAGACTAAAAATAGCAATAGAACAAAGTTATAAGAACTAATGTTGCTAAAAAAATAAAATTAAATATTTAATTAAAGGAAAAAAAATACATAGGTATCAAATTAAAAATTAAAAGAAAGTATAGATACCTCCAATATGATTTTCCCTGTTAATTAAACATGATATTAATCACATAGTTTGTAGGTAACGACAAGGTGAAACACGACAAAATTGACAACAGTAATTAATTACCATAAGCACACATGACATGGATGCTTTATTTTGACGGCGGCCAACAAAAACCTATTCCACATATACCACGTTGTTTTTTATTATAGATCATTTGTACCTTAAAAGTTTATCTCAAAATATAATTCACTTATAGTATAATTAATGATCTTTTTCCAATTTTATCCCTATTAATTTAATAAAAAATTAATTAATCTCTCTCTCCATCTCTCTCTCAACTTTTCATTTCTTATGCAATCCATCCTTTTCCCCTCTCTCTCAACTTTTAAGAAGGGTAAATATGAAAAAAAAAACTGGTTAATTTAACATATTTCTTGGTTTGCGGGTTTGGGATACAAGTGACTTATAATAAGGAACAGAGTGGTATACTAATTTCTTGTTCATACATACCTATCACAAATTACATAATACTTCTCCAATTTTTAATATAAGATCTACTATTTAACTAATTTAATTGAATTAAGGAGATTAGGTAAGTTTGTCAATTATAAAAAATATAACATATTTTTCTTAAAATATCATAATTATGTTTCTTAATATCTTCCCTCTTCTCTTAACTTGATTATGGTTAAGGGAATATCCATAAAAGTAATTTAAGAAAAATTAATAAATATAAAAAATAGATATAATATTTATGACTAAATTTAAAAAATAGATATAATATTTATGACTAAATTTAACTCACTAATTAGGTCATATATTAATGACCGAAGAAGTAATACCCAAATACAGTATGAAAACCTAAGATTAAAAGTTATGAATAGAGTATTTGGATGAAAATCAAATTATGATTTTAAAAATGATTTTATGATATATGAAGTAAATGTGTGTGATATCCCACATCGGGGGCGCGAGTCCTGGGCATGTGCTATATAAGTGGGCGCGAGGCGTCCCATTTCGACGAGGCGCTCCCTGAGGGGACAAAACCCAGTGCCTACGGGCGGCTAAATCTGGGACAATACCTCGGATGTCACATTGAATATATTATTGATATTTTAATCGGTTTAAAATGTAAAATAGGTTAAGACTATATTATTAGAAAAATTTTGAAACTGGAAACTTAAGTTATAAATTGAGATTCTTACAATATTAGATAAAAACCATATTTTATAAATATTTATAATTTAAATTAGTTTTTTTTGGGTAGAGAAAAATTGTTATTTGAAGTAAGAATTTTTGGATAGTAAATATATGTATAAATATTATTAATAATAAATTCTATGTAATTTAAGTTAATTATTTGTATGTATATTAAATTGTATCTATATTATTTGTAGATTATCTTGTACTTCGGAGTTTGTAATTTGCGCTCTTATTTCTCAAGCTGTGAGGTTAAGCTTGGAGTAGAGGTAACCGGGGTTAATTTATTTTATATACACGCTTTGGATTGTAAGGTGTTTATTATGTTTTTATTTTCTTAGTTAAATTGTAAAAGTATGTCTGTGAATAAAATATATTTTATTATATGACAAATTTTGGTGAAGTGGGAGGTATGTTGATCTAATTATGTTTGAGTTGTGTTTTATTGGAAATTGTGTTTTTGTGTAGTACTGAATTTAATATACTAGTATTATGTTATTAAATGAAATGAAAATGTGTTATACTTTGTTTGAATCATGTGGCAAACCGGAGCTTTATCCCCGCTTAGCCACCTCCAACGAGGTGCGGGGTTTATCCCCAAAAGGGGCCCTCGGGATGCCAGAGGCCAACGCCTCGGCTACATTTAAGCACATCACTCTGGGCGAGTCTCCCCGATGTGGGACTTAGGCGTTCCCTGCCTACCTCGTCTGGACTCCCACCGTTTGGGTTTGCAGCCGTAGCCAAGAGCCCTCCCTAGGTGGTATACCTCCCTAGAGGCGCTTGGCTGTGTGATATCCCACATCGGGGGCGCGAGTCCTGGGCATGTGCTATATAAGTGGGCGCGAGGCGTCCCATTTCGACGAGGCGCTCCCTGAGGGGACAAAACCCAGTGCCTACGGGCGGCTAAATCTGGGACAATACCTCGGATGTCACATTGTGATACGGGAAGGCGTCCAAATCCGGGACAATATCGTCGACTGCAGGGGGGAGACCCTGTTGGTATGGTATCAGAGCCATGGTTGCCTGGGCTATATAAGTGAGTGGTTTGACGCTCATCTTGACGAGGCGCTCCCTGAGGGGACAAAACCCAGTGCCTACGGGCGGCTAAATCTGGGACAATACCTCGGATGTCACATTGTGGTATCAGAGCCGGTACCCGACCAAGCGCCGCTAGGAAGGTATACCACCTAGGGAGGGCTCTTGGCTACGGCTGCAAACCCAGACGGTGGGAGTCCAGACGTGGTAGGCAGGCGGGGAAAGTTCCTGGGCTACGGTCCCTAACATCTGAGGCGCCTTTTAGGAGGACAAAACCCAGTGCCTGTGATGGCTGCTAAATCTGGGACAATACCTCGGATGTCACATTGTGGTATCAGAGCCAGGTTTCGATCCTGGGACCTGTGGGTTATGGGCCCACCACGCTTCCGCTGCGCAACGATTCATATAAATGGAGGATCAATGTGACATCCGAGGTATTGTCCCAGATTTAGCCGCCCGTAGCCACTGGGTTTTGTCCCCTCAGGGAGCGCCTCGTCAAAATGAAGGTCTATCCTTCACTTATATCGCACATTGCCCAGGATCCAACCATAGGCTCTGATACCATACCAACAGGGTCTCCCCTGCAGTCGACGATATTGTCCCGGATTTGGACGCCTCTCCCGTCACCCCCTCACGGGTCCCTAGGGTATAGCACCGGGTTTTGCTCCTGGGGTCATCCCCAAAAGGCCTCGTCAAAATGAACCTCAAATGATTCACTTATATGGCCCAGAACCTAGCTCTGATACCATCATGTGGCAAACCGGAGCTTTATCCCCGCTTAGCCACCTCCAACGAGGTGCGGGGTTTATCCCCAAAAAGGGCCCTCGGGATGCCAGAGGCCAACGCCTCGGCTACATTTAAGCACATCACTCTGGGCGAGTCTCCCCGATGTGGGACTTAGGCGTTCCCTGCCTACCTCGTCTGGACTCCCACCGTCTGGGTTTGCAGCCGTAGCCAAGAGCCCTCCCTAGGTGGTATACCTTCCTAGCGGCGCTTGGTCGGGTACCGGCTCTGATACCACAATGTGACATCCGAGGTATTGTCCCAGATTTAGCCGCCCGTAGGCACTGGGTTTTGTCCCCTCAGGGAGCGCCTCGTCGAAATGGGACGCCTCGCGCCCACTTATATAGCACATGCCCAGGACTCGCGCCCCCGATGTGGGATATCACAGTTATCACATTTAAAATCATTTGTAAGCATATTTTACGTAAGTCGAGATAAAATTTGTTTTACATACTTACCTGGTATTTCGTAAATCATGATTACAAAACTGATTATAAATCGTTTCGAATGGGTCTAAATTAAAGACAAGAAAAATGATGACAATGTGGTGGACAGTGGAGACACTGGTATTCTGGACTGGGTTCAGAGCTGTTGAGTTAGATGAAGCCCATGGCGATTTCTTTTACCAAAAAATGGAGAAGCCCATCGGAACTTCATCATCTTATTTGTATTGTACATGTTTTATTTATATCATTTTAAAAACGAAAAATAAACCACAGGATAAAAAAGTTACAAAGAAATCACACTCATCTTTCAAGGATATTACTGCCAGGTTTTATAAACATCTTTAAAGTTGCATTCCTAATAGAATTTCTTCTAATAAGTTGTTATTTGAAAAGTTCACAACGTACACCAACTCACCAAGCTTATCAGCTCTTGACTCCACAGTCTTAAATTAAGAAAAACCACAGGCTCCTCACAGATTCCCAAGCTCCCACCAGATTTTGCCATTCAAATTGTTACTTGATACAAATCTTTATTACCATAATCCCCTGTGCAGTATTATTTTTATGAAAATTCTTGCTGTAATCCCCTAATAATGTTCTCATTCATGTTTTGTTCTAAAAGTTAGTAAACTTTAATCCAACTATGCTTTCCAAATAAAATAACTCAAATTTATCATTAAAAAAATTATGTAGAATAGATTAAAAATGACAAGTTTAAAGTAGTAGGAGTTAAAAGCGAAAAAATAATGAAGTGAAATCCCTTAATACACATTAAAAAATGGCCCAGAGTTGTTGAGATAGAGGCAGCCCATCACTTTTTGCGAAATGATTTGGGTCTAGTCCGAAAGAAGAATCGTTTTTTATAAAAATAAATAAATAAAGATAAGCCTTTTTACACGGTGTCCCAAACTGCTTTGCAAGCTTGCTCCCAAGAATTTTCATTTTAGGTTCAGTTTCTATAACACTCATTTACTTGGGCTGTGAGGAACATCGTTTTATTAACTGCCTTAAAAAATGTCTTTCCTTTTCCATATTTTTTAATAAAAGAAAACAAGATTCCCTCTTTCTTTAGGGACAGATATTAATAACCCGAAATCACAAGTATAATCAAACTTACGACGAATTTTTTGTACTGTTAGGCTACAAGGTCGCAAGCAGAATTTTTTCTTCCCTCTTTACTCCTAGATGCATGACAATTCATAAAGCAAGGACCATCAAGAGAGGAAGTTGTACAAGTTCAATTTCGCCATTCCCACCCATTCTTCCACAAGCATCAAACATACATACAAACGTCCCCACAAAAATTCAAAAATCCCCTCATTCATCTCAACGTTTGTTAGCAAAACAAAACCAAAAAGATACAAATATTTAGTTGTGATTTTTTTAAAGCAAAGAAAAAAAAACAAATATTTTTTAAATGATTACTGTTAAACACTAATTGTAAAAGGTGGGGAAGACAAGGGAAACAAGAACTTCAACAAAAAAAAAATAATTTAGACACCACGTGGGCGATGGGATTATGGTCCAATAAGAGTAAGAAGTAAAGGTTCTAAGAAATTTCCAAAGTCACTATAATTGGGAAAGAAAATCAAAAGCAATGTACTGTGAATGTGTTAGAAAATATCAAAGGCCAAGATCAGTGTGCGTGTGATAATAACTGAAGATGGCCATTGTCCGAGAGTGTGTCGTGAGGAATAACGCGTTGGGCCAAGATTTGACTGTCGTTGGAGGTTCGGTTAATCTTGTCTGCTACGTGGCGCCAATTGGGTGGTTCGACCACAAACGTGCGAGCCGGTTTCATTACTCGCCTTCTCATTGGTCGACGTGGCATTTCCTTAACGGCCTTTTTTCTTCCATTCTTTGGCGGCAGTTTTTACTTTCCACGTTCGCTTCTTCGACGCAAAAATGCCCTCTTGTCTCTTTCTCCCCAGTTCATTTCATCGTCTCAATTTTCGATCTTTTTTTTTTAAATTTAAGTTTAACCATTCAATAAATAAGATTACTTAATACAATTTTTTTAAAAAAAAATTATCAGACATAATTTTCACGTTTACTTTAATTTTTACATCATATTTTTTGTTGTATGTGTAATGGAGAGTATGTCTATTCTAGAGAATATAATTCAAATCCCCTCTTCTTCTTCTTTTCTCGTTCTAATTGCTCCTAAGAAAAACATGTGTCAATTCAACTTTAGACATGGACGTGGACGTCCATGATGTGCTCTGCTTTTTCTATCCAAAACATAATTGTATTTGCTTTGGTGATCGATACTAATATTTCATGTTTATCGGGGCATATACAATTATATGTGAAGTACAGGCATGAGTTTTGGTATTTTAAAAAAAGGCATGGGTTTGCAATATGAATGAAGCTCGTAAATTGATCTTTGTTTTAAGAAAAATGAAACCCATACAAAGTGTGGCTAAATTTACCAGTTCCTCTGATTCTATATACTACCTTCGGTTTTTAATATAAGAGTTCGTTTGATTTTTATTTTAGTCATAAATATAAAATTTTAATCCATTTTGTTTGTCATTTTTATCCATTGTTTTTCAAAATATTTTTTGTAATAATAATAATTCTAACCAATAAATTTGATTAATAAAGATATTTTAGAAGCCAAATAAGGTGCTAAACGGAAAAGTTACAGGGCTTCTTGTATTCAACAACTCATGCTTGTCTAAACCATGGTTTTAAAAGTAATTTTACGGTATACGAAATAAGTATGTAAGAAAAGTTTTATCTCGATTTACGTGAAATAATTTTTTAAAAGCATTTTTTAGTTTAGCCAAACACCTCCCAAGTCTAAAATGAAAATAAAAAATTAAAAAAATTCTCAAACGCTGAAAATTCGTTTCGTCATTTTAGTAACTTTTCCTTTTTTCCCCTCAAAACAAAAAATGTCAAACTCTCTAAAAAGCATGGACATGATTTTTAATTAATGATATTAATCAAGACTAGAATATGACCTGCCTTCAAAAGATGCCTTTCCTCTTCCATAAAAAAAATTATACAAGATTTTCCGCCAGATGGACGAGGATTCATAAAAAAGATGAAGAAAATTGTTGGGAAATGACTATATCCTTCGATTGTTTGAGTAATTGTCATATTATCTACTGGCTTCACCAGAAGAATGTCGGCAAATTAATGAACTAGTGATCAGTGACGAAGATGATCATAAGAATGCGATGATGGGAAAAACTCTTTAGCTAAAGGATTCAATTTTGTAAAACATGAAATGTTAGAATTTTTAATTTAAAATTTTAAATGTCAGAAAGGTTTTATGCCATTGATGCAAAGTTTAGAAGAATTTTGTACATTTTAGCCTTTTATATATTTTTATCTAAATTTTTTAGCCAATGAAAATTCATAATTTCTTTTGGTTGCAAATTTTTTTCCACCTAAGGTGATTTTATTGGTATCCATTATACGAAAAGTAGAGAAAGAATAAATGCAAGAATAAGATGTGATTTGGCAACTAATACATTTTTATTAATTTTTTAAATGTATATGAAAGCTAAAATTTGATTAAAAATTCATTATAAAACTTATTTCTCATAACCTCAACATTAAATTCTACTTTTTATTTGTAATTCTTGCTGAAAGTTTTTTCATACTTTTCCAAGAAAACATTATGATGGTATTTTGGTTTCTATTTATTTATTTTATGACTAAATAGGGTGAGGTTTTTTGTATATCAGCAAAAAGAGAGGTTTCATTTCATAATTAATTAGGGCCTTAAAAGGATTTTAAAAAAACAACGGTTCTGTATCAGTAATTTTCATTCGACACATTAGAGATGAAACGATAAGTTAGACAAGTCTAATTGAGAATATCTCATAGTATATAGGTAACAACAAGGTTAAACAGGACGAAATTGACGACGGTAATTAATTAACATAAGCACACATGACATGGATGCCTTATTTTGACGGTGGCTAATAGAAACCTATTCCACATATATTTGCTTCTGCTCCAAACTGCCTCTCTCATGATCTCCCAGCTTCCATTAATCGGGCTCCTCTCATCACCCTGCTTATAATCCATAGCATTCAAAACCAAAGTCACCGTATGTAAAAGTTTCATGAATGAATAATTAAATTGATCTGGGAAGTTCGAGACTCATCCAAATGGTTTCAGATATTTTATATATCCTTTTTCGTGACAAGTAAGAAATTACTTTGGATCAATTGATCTATTTTTGTTTCCCAATTTTGTTGAAAAGGAAAACGAAGGAAAGAATATTATCACTTACTTTTCAAAGAACCTGCGGCATCTTGATATGTTGATTACTGTGAGCACAAAGATCTTGTCGTATAGATTATGCAGGAAGGTGAAGTAAGCATGTCTCCAAGCGGGGAAGAGAAGCAATGGGCCAAAGATGGCCCAAAATCCAGTAGCAAATCCCAAACCCATACTTATGTAGAAGCCTTGGCTCAAAATTGAATCATCATCATGCTTCTCAATTGTAAACGAGTCTTTTGGATTTCTGTTTTCATCAGGACAAAGCCTTTCAAGTGGACTCCCACATAGATAGGGATTTCCCTCATATACAGATGCATCGAAGCCTTGGAGTTGCGTTCCAGATGGAATTTTTCCAGATAAATTATTATGAGATAGGTTCAAAACGGCAAGCCTATCAATTTGAGATAGACTTGAAGGGATTTTTCCGGACAAATGATTTGTTGATAAATCAAGAAAATCAAGGGCATGCAACTTTCCTAACTCCCAAGGGATTTCACCACTCAGATTGTTATTTGATAAATCTAAAGAAACTAGTTCTGAGAGGCTCCCAATTTCTTCTGGAATCTTGTCAGATAATTGATTCCCAGATAGGTCAATTAACCTCAAAAGTCTTTTGTTGTCCTTGAATGACAACTCTTTTCCTTTCCATCTCACTGTGGGATAAAAGTCATATTCAACTACCCAAGAAGGGGAATTATTCTTAAAGACAAAGAATTGCTCGATGGCATCATAGATGCTAGGTTTATGAGTCATCATGATGAAATTTTAGAGGCATTTGGGTATATGTCCAGACAAGTTATTCATTGAAAGATCTAAAACCTGAATAGTTGACAAATGACAAAGATGGGACGGCAAACTTCCATGAAAGTTGTTGTTTGTCAAGCTAAGAACTTGCAACTTAGGAAAGTTAGATCCTGATATCCATGAAGGTATAGGTCCTACTAATTCATTTCTTCCCACGTCCAACATCACCAAGTCGATGCAATTCTTCAAGGATGGGAGTTGGCCTATGAAGTGATTGTTGCGTAAAATTAAGTGGCGGACCAAAAGTAAGGAACCTATAGAGGTTGGAACCTTTCCAGAGAATTCATTGTTGCTGAAATCAACGATTCTTATTGAATTTAACCCATTCAAACAATCTGGAAGTTGTCCTTTAAAGTGATTGCCTGACATGTTCAAAAAGCTTAGACCTTTCTTGGCAGAGCAAAGAAAAGAGGCCATTGTTGCTGTGTCTGATATGCCAGCATCAGAAACATCAAGATAGGATATGCCATTTTGTGTTTGAAGCCATTTTGGAAATGAGGGGCCCATCATGCAGGATTGTATACCCAATGATTTCAATTGAAAATGAGGAATCCAATTATCATTGAATTGCAAAGTAAATGAGTTTTGGAATAAATATAAGAACTTCAATTTTGTGAGATTTGCAAGGGGGCCCAAATTTGTAATCTCACCATCCAAAAAGTTTCCAAAAACATCAAAATATTGCAATTCTAACATATTTGCAATTGTTTTTGGCAGTGTTCCATTTAGGTGATTGTTATCGAGTGCCAAGTATTGAAGAGAATTCATTGTTTTTCCAACATCATATGGAATGGGACCTTCTAAGAGGTTTTCTGCGAGATCCAGGTGTGTAAGACTAGAGTTTAAATGGAACAACCAGGGAAATATGGATGATGTGAACTTATTGTGAGATAGACTAAGCTCTGTTATGGAATAAGAAAAATTCCATGCAGAGGGATGCACAAAAAGAAGATCTTTATATGAAAGACTACAATTTCTGAGTGATAGAGTTTGTAGATTTGGTAGCAGACCAACCATGTGCAACCAATTTCTGGACTCTCTAAGATTTGACACATCATCTAGTTCAAGCGACCTCAAAGAAGAAAGGTGAGAAATCCATGAAATGTCATCAACATCAATCAAGAGATTGTCATTTGAATCAAGGACAAGAATCTCTAATCTTGAAAGATTACCAAGTTGGTGAGGAATTAAGCCCCCTAAATGGTTGTGATGGAGAGTGAGTTGCAACAAGTTAGAAATATTTCCCAGTTGCCAAGGGATTTCTCCTGTGAGGTAGTTTAGTTGGAGATGAAGATTCTGTAGGCGTGAGAGTTTTCCTAATTGATGAGGAATTTTCCCACCAAAGTAAGCATGGCTTAGATCAAGGAATCTTAAATTGTTAAGAGAACTAAGAAAATCTGGAATTGGGTTTTGATCAAAATCATTCCAACTAAGATCAAAATAACTCAAATGTTGCAGTTCCACCAAAGAAGGCCTAATCTCACCTCTCAAAGGTTTATCATAATCACGAGCACAAAGATCGAGCTTCACAACATGGCCTGTTCGGTTGCTACAGTGAATGCCCCACCAGTGGCAACAATCAGCGTCTCCATTTGGACCCCATGAAGATAAGATGCCGTGCTCATCCACAAGACCTTTCTTCAGCTCCAAAAGTGCTTCCCTTTCTCTCTTTGTGCAACTCTTGCTTCCGTTGGTGTGCAAAATCCCTATCTGCAAAACCCACACCAAGAATATGGTTTGAAGCACTTTTAGACTGTTCCAATACATGATCACTCTCTCTCACAAAACTTGCTTTGCATCAAATGAATGAAAACTCAAATGTATATTAGTTTACTTCTCAGAAGGAAAATGAAGTATAAGCCTTAAAGACTTCATAATATAGTTGACTAGTTGACGCAGAATAATTCCTTGTCAACAAACCAATCAGTGAACATTACAATGTGAAAAGGGGAAGTGAAAAAAAAAGGTTGTTATGTGAAGAGAGTTGTTAGAAAATATATCAAAGAGAAGACCAGTGTGATCATTTTTTGTTTCTTTGGGGGACTAGGGTAATCGCTCTGTTTGAGAGCGTTTCGTAAAGGAGAAAGCGTTGGCCCCACACAAGGTTGACGTGGACATCTATGGTGCGCCCTGCTTTCTGTTCATAATTTTTTTTTTCTGACCGAACATTCTATCCATGATATAATTATTGTATATGCTTTGATTTGATAATAATATTTCATGTTAATTAAAACCTTAATATGAGGGCTATACGATTATATGAAAAGGGGAGGCATAGATTTGAAATATCCTCCATTCCTTCAACTGAATCAAAGTGAACTAGACAAAATAAAAAATTAATGAAAAAATTGAAAACGACTTCTAAATATTTTTTATAAATAGGAAGACAACATATTAAAAATTCTCACTTTTTAAGGCAACCGAGGGAGTACCCATCATAAGTTTATTCTTTTTTTCACATGAAATAAATAGAGTGTAACTAAAGATGCCGTAAAGAAACTTAATAAATATAATAGTAGGACCATATTAAATTTGCAATTAATATTCTTATGCTTTCGATACCTGACGGTTGGAAACCAAGACGGCCATAAAGTGTTCAGACTATTTGTCTATCCCCATGCATGATTCATCCATTTTTCGTACTTCTGTTGGTTTCAGTCATTATCGCGCGTAGGCCGGATTGCTAACGCGAAAACATTCTATATGTGATTGAGCACATCACGCCAAATGTGTGATTGAGCACACCACCCCACCATCATATGCCAATTTCTCGTTCATACATACCTATTACAAATTACATAATACTCTTCTGATTTTTAATATAAAATCTATTTGATTAATTTAATTAGATTAAAAAATTTAAGTAAATTAGTTAATTATAAAAAATACTCGTATGATATATTTTTCCTAAAATACCATAACTATATTTCTTAATGTCCTCCCCCTATTTGATTATGGTTGAGGGAGTGTCCATAAGAATAATCTAAAAAAAATTAATAAATATGAGAAATATGTTTAATATTTATGACTAAATTTAACTCACTAATTAGGTCATATATTAATAATCGAAGGAGTAATACCTAAACGTAGTAGGAAAACCTATGACTAAAAGTTATGAAGGGGGTGTTTGAATAGAAACCAAATCATGATTTTAAAAGTAACTTTATGATATACAAACTAAGTACTCCTTTCGTTCTTGTATATAAGATTCAAATAACTCAATCACATTTAACGAACTAGCAGTTAAAATGAGTTAAAAATAATAAACAGATCAGGAATGTATTTTTTTTTCCAAATTTGTACTTATTTATTAAGAGAGTAAATGAGGGAGACAATAAATAAAAAAAATGTTGAAAGAGAATATATAGAGGTAATATTAATGAAAGAGAATATATAGAGGTAATATTAATGAAAGAGAATATATAGAGGTAATATTAATGAAAGAGAATGAGTACTAAATAAAGTCAACTATAAGCAAATTGGGAAAAAAAAAAGGTAATAAATGCTCAGACAAACTAAAAAATGAAGCTTATTTTAGACTAGACTCTTCTTCAAAAGTAAAGCTTATATGTAGGACCGGAGGGAATATATAAAAAGAGTTTTATCTCGATTTACGTAATTAAACATTCTCATGTTCCATATATTCAAGGAACCACGTGGGGGATCGACGTTGTTTATTTATGATGCCGCGTCAATGCTTCTTTGTTATTTCTCGGATTCTTCAGATGTAAGTCAGTGAGCGTGTTAAAGAGAACTCGCAGTAGGTTTTTATCATATTTTCTCATTCAGTTTAAAGTCTAATTAATCTCAACTCCAACAAGTGAACACGACCAAGGTTAATATGTTAGCTCAGATTTAGACTGTTCCAACACATGGTCACTCTTTAGGATTTGTCCAACATTATGGAACCTTCAATTTATAATAATTTCTTTCGACAAAAATTAAACAGTATAGCGTGTTTTAGGCGGCATGCATGTAGCATCCTTTTCTAAGATTGCTTTCTTTCACTCCCATAATTTCAAGCTTTCTAATTAACTGCAAGGCTTTATATTCCAAAAGAGTACCTTCAAAAGTCCTAGTAAAATGATTTTTTCAAAGCCACTGGACCCATACGAAGATATATACGGAGGCGTATTGCGGAAACATTATTAATTTCCAAAGCCAGACTGAAAGAGAAGCTGCGCTCCAGGTTGCCGGTGAATACGTAAGCGTGGATTCCGTCAAACCGACAGGGTTTGCAAAATATAATGGAAATTAATCATATATCGAGTAAATTATGGATATAGAAAACAAGTCAATAAGTAATTAATGACGATGGCTATGGTGGCTTGTTTATCTTTTTGGCTAATGATGGCTTATTATTGTTTGATTATGCATGTAATAAGATAAGAGTTTTTTTTTTTTTAATAGGGAGAATATGTATTAGGGTAAACAAGAGGTATATATAATATAGCTGTCCAAATTTGAATACAAAGTGCATTCACCGATTTAAGAGAATTTTATGATTAGAATAAAAAGCTGATACGTAGTTTATCAGTGGAAGTGACTGCGAAGATGAAGAGTACGCTCATGAAAGTTCCTGGGTTGGACCGTCAAAATTGGGAACCTCTTTTTTTTTTTTTTATTAATTCGATGTTGAGTCAATTTTTTTTTGGGTGCAATGTTCTCCAACAATCCGGAGGTTGTCATTTGAAGTTATTGCTGCTGGCAATACTTGCAAAATAACAAAAAATATGATTTAAATCATGTCTAAGGATACTGTCCTTAAGAGATATAGCTTGTAAATTTGGTAGCTAACCAAACATGTGCAACCAAATTTTGGATTCTCTCTCATTTAAGATATCATCTTATTCAAGGTCAGTCAAAAAAGAAAGAAAAGAAATCCATGAAATGTTATCAACATCAATTAGGAGATTATCATTTTCACCAAACTGAAGAGCCTCTAATTTTGAAAGATTACCAAGTTGGCGAGGAATTATGCCCCCCAGATGGTTATGATGTAAAGTGAGTTGCAGCAAGTTAGAAAGATTTCCCAATTGACAAGGAATATAGTTTCTCCTTCAAGGTAGTTCAATTGGAGAGGAAGATTCCGTAGGCTACACAGTTCTCCTAATTGATAAGGATTTTCCCACCAAAGTAAGCATGTGTGGCTTGAAGCAACTTTAATTTATATGTGGCATGCTTCCTATTCCTAATTTAGACTATCTGAATACATGGTCACTCTTTGGATATTGCTCCAACATTATGGGAACCTTCAATTTATAATCATTTCCTTCTTCACAAACAAGGCAGCATAGGCATCAGCGTGTTGTATGTGGCATGCTTCCTAATCACTAAAACGAACCTCTTTCCCCAACGAAAATTAATTGCAAGACTTGATAATATTCCAAAAGCCTGCCTTCAAAAGTATATACCTCTGGACTCCGTCAAACTCACGGGGTTTGCAAAATGAAATTAATCATGACACATCGAGTAACCATGGATATGGAAGCCCATCAATAAGCTAATGACGATGATGTCATGTATATGTAACAAGAGTACGTATTGTGAGGATCAATAGTATCTGAGAGTTGAAGCCGATCGAGTCGTGTATTTGGGGGCAGACTTAGCTTCAAGTCTATGATAGGCATGAACGCGTGAGAAGGTTTTATAGATTGGATTAACCCATAGAAATTTGAGATAATTAAAGCATGAATTGAGAAAAATCTTATTAATTTAATATATATTTCAAATTAATAAAAACCTATCATATAAAGTGGTTAATGATATTAATAGGGTTGTGAATATTGTTATAAGAATTGTTAATCACATTACAAATGTTCAAAACATTTCAGTTTAAAAGCTTGAAACATACATGATTAATAATGTTAATAAAACTCCGAATACCGTTATAAGAGTTGTTAATCATCACGTTATGAAAGTTGAAAAAAATCTCAAAAAATAATTACCGTCACTGTATCACTGTTGATCAGTAACCAGAAGTCACTTGAACTTTGGCATCAGTGTCGGAGCTTCGGCCTGCTGGTAAGAGTGACTTGAAGGCATGGGGAAAAAAAAGGGGGCAATATTGTAAATTCACTTAATTTCAAAATTTTAAATTAGTCGATTTTGCAAGTTTTAAGCATCATTTTATTGGAACTTTTAAAAAAAAATCTAATATCAACTCATTCCCTTTTAAAAAAAAAAAAAAAAGTGATTCCTATTCGAAATGTCAACTATTGCAAAGAAAATGGCTATTCAGGCCCAACACCCAAAAGGCCATTATCATGGGCCCATTACTGAAGCCCAATACGGTGAGGAATGCGATACTTACGTAATGCTTGGGCTTCTCGTATTCAACAACTCATGCTTGTCTGAAATGAAAATAAAAAATTAAAAAATTTCCCAAACACTGAAAATAAAGTATGGACACAATTTTTAAGTAAATATGATATTAATCAAGACTAGAATATTATCTGCCTTCAATGACGCCTTTTCTCTTCCATAATTTTTTTTTAAGGAAAAAAAAATATTCAATAGAAGATGAAGAAGATTGTTGGGAAATGACTATATCCCTCGGTTGTTTGAGTAATTGTCATATTATCCGGTGGCTTCATCAGGAAATTGTCGGCAAATTAAAGAACTAATGACCAGAGCGCAGATGACGCAGATGATTCTAAAAATGCGATGATGGGAAAAACTGTTTAGCCAAAGGATTCAATTTTGTGAAAACATGAAATATTAGAATTCTTAATTTAAATTTTAAATGTTAGGAAGGTTTCATGCCA